GTGAAATTACCTTCGAAAAGTGAACCATCAGGTTAATAAACAGGGGAGTGAAAACGGAACGGATTTTTGACCTTTAAGGGATGTTAATATTCAGATACTCTCCTACTGAGAAGCCCCGATTTCTTAAGGATATTGAACATAAGCCTATAGTTACTAACATCCATCCATTTTTTTTAGGAATAGGAGTGATTCCCTTTGATTTAAAAACTCCTTGAACACAGTTTTGGGAAAGGTAACAGCTAGGGAGGTAATGCGGGCTGCTGGGTACGTTTAATTCTGAGGCACCGTGTTTAAGGAATTTGGTTTGGGGATTTTATCGGGTCCAGTGCTTTTGGTTGGGGAGGTTCAGAAGCGGGGAAATCGTTCAGAAACACACGAACTGAAATACGTTACAAATAAATATTGTAATAAAGTTGGTAGAATTACCGACATATGATAAAGTAAAAGGACACAAGTGCAACTAATGTGACTTTTATTGTAGCAACGTTTCGCTCTCCAGGAGCTTATCATGGCTTGATAAGCTCCTGGAGAGCGAAACGTTGCTACAATAAAGGGTCACATTAGTTGCACTTGTGCCTTTTACTTTAAATAAATATTGTGAAGACGAGTTACATACGAACATTATTATTATTATTATTATTATAGTAGTAGTAGTAGTAGTTTTTGTTGTTGTAGTATTATGGTAACTGTTTTCAACCTCCAGTGATTTGTCACTTGAGTAAGAGAAGTGATCACGTGTCCTCCTCCCGCGGGAAACCCCCCGGGTGGCCATGGCGGTCTTCAGGAGGTTCCTGGAGACGTGTCCACCGAGGGTAGGAACCGTGCAGGACCTACTCCCCTTTCTACGCCCTTCCTTATGTCCCTGTTTCCCACCCACCACCCAGCCTTCGGGCCCAGTCTTCCAGGAAATGTAAGACTTACCCAGTGTGATCCAGCACTCACTGTTCTGATAACTACTCTCTCTCTCTCTCTCCCCTTCTCTCTCTCTCTCTCCTCTCTCTCTCTCTCTCTCTCTCTCTCTCTCTCTCTCTTTTTTTTTACACGGGGTTTTTGACAAGGTTAAGGATCCCTAGCTTTATTGACAGCTATATTACAGGTTAAGGATTCCTAACTTTATTGGCAAGCTAAGAGCTGTTACCTACATCAGCTCATTTGAAAGCATTTTTATTGTTATGAGACATACAAGTACGGGACAGGATGAAGTTGGAGCCATCTGTGGGCCAGCATTTTCATTTGATCAACTGACTTTATCTCGTTGATATCATTAGCTGTACGAATGTGTTCCATACTCGAGTCATCCTGGGTATGTATGATCTCAGATGGAGTGATGTTCTGGAGAAGGGTACAGCCAGAGTGAAGTTGCTGCTTTCTCCCCGTTTTGTGGCATAAAAGCTTGTTTCACGCTGTCCTCGAAGTGGATCCAAGTGTGGTTTTTTTGACAATATTGGCCTTGTACATAACGAAAGGGCCCACCCACATCCCTCCTATGTTGAAGGCTCTGCTGAAATGACAGATCTATCCAGGATGGGTCCAGGCGAGAGATGAGAACGTCTTGCTCTGTTCTCTACTCTGTCAAGCAGTCGCAGATGAGAGGGGGGGGCAGGCAAACCAAGAAGTGGAGCATACTCAAGGTGTGAGCGTACTTGTGCCTCGTACAGGATCTTGCAACCCCTACTGTCAAGCAGATGCGAGATACGGCGAAGTGCTGTAAGCTTCCTGGCTGCCTTGTTTTGCAAGATTTACAAATGGTTTTTTCATGGTTAGTTTTGGAGTCAAATTTCACCCCAAGGATATCAACTTTTTCTCCAGGTGCCAACATCCTATCTCTCTCTCTCTCTCCTCTCTCCCCTTCTCTCTTCTCTCTCTCTCTCCTCTCTCTCTCTCTCTCTCTCTTCTCTCTCTCTCCCCTTTTCTCTCTCCTTCTCTTTCTTCTTTCTCTCTTTCTCCATATAGGTGTCCTTACCTACTGTCTTTCAAATCAGTGACGTGATACCATTGAATATTCGTATTTATTATGGAACCATTTCGCCCAACGTTTCTTTACTCTTCAAAACAGCAGATGAGCTGCAGCTCTTGGGTCCTTGCCTTTGTAGCTTGTCTGCGGGAGTTGTTTTACAAAATGAAAACCAAGTGACGTTCTCGACCACTAACAAGTTGCAGTTGATTATGATCCAGGACGAAATGTTGTTTTTTTTAGTGTTAATTTCTGGATTATGTTTGAATTGTTTTCAGCCAGGGTATAGTGAGATGTGTTGTTGGTGGTAGACTGCCTGCTGCCTTCTGCAGTGTGCTCACAATTTCTACCGTGTTCCTGACATGGTGTGGGTGCCCACTACCTTGTTCCTGACATGGTGTGGGTGTCCACCTTGTTTCTGACACTGGTGTGGGTGCCCACTACCTTGTTCTTGACACTGGTGTGGGTGCCCACTACCTTGTTCCTGACACTGATGTGGGTGCCCGCTACCTTGTTCCTGGCACTGGTGTGGGTGCCCACTACCTTGTTCCTGACACTGGTGTGGGTGCCCACTCCCTTTGGGTTCCTGAAAACTGGTGTGGGTGTTACAGGAAGCGTGGGTACGTGAGCTTCGAGGTCGTCTCTCTGGCTTCCTGGGACGCCGGACCACCACCACCACCACCTCCCGTCCAGCCATCTTCTCCTACCTTCACCATCATCGTCACCATTCATCCAGGTACCTCACCCCAACACCTCGTTCTCCTTTCTCCACCACTACAACACCTCATTCTGCTGCCTCCACCACTACAACACATCATTTTCCAATTCCCCATTTTACCTCATTTTTTCCCCTTTCCCAAAGCCTCATCTCATACTTCCTCATTCTTCCTCTTCCAACAACACAGTTTACGACCATCACGTCATTTCCCCGCCAACACCCATACACCTCCATACAATGTACTTCCTGTCCCATAGCATCTCTGTGTTATTTAGGTTTCTCCACAAAGATTGAGAGACAGCCATAGAAAAAGTATTTAATTCCAATTAAATGTTATGTTTTATAAGAACTTGCTTACTGAGAGGTGTCTGGTAGAGCTGGAGTCTGACAGTAGTGTTTTTGGATGCAGTGTAGGGGCTGCGCTGGTGGCGCAGGAGTCAGCAGCGTCAGCAGTGAGATCGCAGAGAGTGCTCCGGCGGCGTCTGCAGCGCCTTCAGGAAGATTAAACCCTAAACGATAGGTAAGTGCTGGCTTGTGGTTTGGTATAGCTTGTAGTCTGGTAGTAGCTTGTTGTCTGGTAGTAGCTTGTAGTCTGGTAGTAGCTTTAGTCTGGCAGTAACTTGTAGTCTGGTAGTAGCTTGTAGTCTGGTAGTAGCTTGTAGTCTGGTAGTAGCTTGTGTCTGGTAGTAGCTTGTGGGCTGGTAGTAGCTTGTGGTCTGGTAGTAGCTTGTAGTCTGGTAGTAGCTTGTGGGCTGGTAGTAGCTTGTAGTCTGGTAGTACTTGTGGTCTGGTAGTAGCTTGTGGGCTGGTAGTAGCTTGTAGTCTGGTAGTAACTTGTAGTCTGGTAGTAGCTTGTGGTCTGGTAGTAGCTTGTGGGCTGGTAGTAGCTTGTGGTCTGGTAGCAGCTTGTAGTCTGGTAAGTGTTTGTGGTCTGGGAGTAGCTTGTGTCTGGTAGTAGGTTGTGGTCTGGTAGTAGCTTGTAGTCTGGTAGTAGCTTGTAGTCTGGGGGGGAGTAGTTTGTGGTTGGTAGTAGCTTGTAGTCTGGTAGTAGTTAGTGGTTTGGTGTAGCTTGTAGTCTGGTAGTAGCTTGTAGTCTGGTAGTAGTTTGTGGTCTGGTAGTGCTTGTAGTCTAGTAAGTTTGCTTGTAGTCTGGTAGTAGTTTGTGGTCTGGTAGTAGCTTGTAGTCTGGTAGTAGTTAGTGGTTTGGTAGTAGCTTTTAGTCTGTGAGTAGTTTTTGGTCCCGGTATAGCTTGTAGTCTGGTAGTAGCTTGTAGTCTGGTAGTAGTTTGGGTCTGGTAGTAGTTTGTAGCCTGGTAGTAGCTTGTAGTCTGGTAGTAGCTTGTTCTGGTAGTAGTTTGTGGGCTGGTAGTAGTTTGTAGCCCGGTAGTAGCTTGTAGTCTGGTAGTAGCTTGTAGTCCTGGGAGTAGTTTGTGGGCTGGTAGTAGTTTGTAGTCTGGTAGTAGCTTGTAGTCTGGTAGTGCTTGTAGTCTGGTAGTAGTTTGTGGTCTGGTAGTAGTTTGTAGTCTGGTAGTAGCTTGTTGTCTGGTAGTGCTTGTAGTCTGGTAGTAGTTGTGGTCTGGTAGTTTGTAGTCTGGTAGTAGCTTGTAGTCTGGTAGTTTGTGGTCTGGGAGTAGTTTGCGTCTGGTAGTAGTTTGCAGTCTTTGGGAGTAGCTTGTAGTCTGGTAGTAGTTTGCAGTCTGGTAGTAGCTTTAAATCTGGTTAGTACTTGTAGTCTGGTATAGCTTGTAGTCTGGTAGTAGCTTGTAGTCTGGTAGTAGCTTGTAGTCTGGTAGTAGCTGTAGTCTGGTAGTAACTTTTAGTCTGGTAGCCTAGGCGAGGTAAAACTACATAATCAGAAGAATCTGGGATCCCTTTGGGTAGTGTCTTCCTGGGGTTTTAAAGCACCTAACCCAGGAACTTTATGTCTGAGGTGAAACGATAGATATGTCTAATTTTTAAGACCCATTTGCTATAGCCATATCGGCTTGTCACTCACGCCTGACTTTTTGACAAGCATAGGGCTATCCCCAGGATCACATAGATACTCTCACGGTATTATTATTTAATATTATTTTTAACTAATTTAATGATGGAGGGAAACGAGAAACATAAGGAATAGGGTGTAATAATGTTGATCCCAATAAAGAGGATTAAAAATGTTCTGTACGTAGTGTAACAGTTCTTGTTAACACAGACGTTCTTTTCCCTGTAAACCACGGAACAGGTGGGACTCAAACCCATGGCAAGCAAGTCCCAAAACTCACAAGCCACTGTGCTAACCACTGGACTATGCCAGTATGGACCAGTGGTTAGGACACTGGCCTGTATGTTTGAGGACTCGGCTGCCATGGATTCGATCCCCTGGAGTTCTGTGATGGTTTGTCATCGTGCCAGTTCGACTTCGTGAGATGTGTATCCATGTTATTACAATGAATAATTTACATGCGTGCATAATTATAAATATATCGGACACTAGTGCTTTCACTTCCTTGCTGTTATACACAGTTATAGCTTTGTGGACGGAGGATCGAGACCCCACCAACTGTTTACCTATAGTGAGCCTGTGAAAATCTTTTACTTGGGCCACAGATGCAATATTAACAAAAAAATACGGGAACTCACTGTGATATCAGGAGAAACAGCTGATGTCACAGCCGGGAGTTTACTCCCGGGAGTGATATCAGCCGTGAATTTATCGCCGGGAGTTTACACTGATATCACAGCTGGGAGTAAACTCTTGAAAACTCTTGAAACTCATCAAATGTATATCAAAGATAAAGGTATACGAGTGAAGAACTTTTTCACCCTTATATACTTAATAATGTTAAACTCCCAGCTGATATCACAGCCACTTTCCGTATTTTTTTTTTACTAAGGTTCAGAAGTCTGTCCAGTGAAAAAGTCAATAATATTCATACACACATAAGTAAATTAATGCGTAGTCTCCCTTTCATCTTGAGGTCCTGGCCAAATGACCCTTCTTTGAGTGGCCCTGATGTCACGTCATCTAGGGTTGGTAGTAAGTTGGTAGACAGCAACCATCCAGGGAGGTACTACCGTCCTGTCATATGTGAGTAGGTTGGTAGACAGCAACCATCCAGAGAGGTACTACCGTCCTGTCATATGTGAGTAGGTTGGTAGACAGCAACCATCCAGAGAGGTACTACCGTCCTGTCATATGTGAGTAGGTTGGTAGACAGCAACCATCCAGAGAGGTACTACCGTCCTGTCATATGTGAGTAGGTTGGTAGACAGCAACCATCCAGAGAGTACTACCGTCCTGTCATATGTGAGTAGGTTGGTAGACAGCAACCATCCAGAGAGGTACTACCGTCCTGTCATATGTGAGTAGGTTGGTAGACAGCAACCATCCAGAGAGGTACTACCGTCCTGTCATATGTGAGTAGGTTGGTAGACAGCAACCATCCAGAGAGGTACTACCGTCCTGTCATATGTTAGTAGGTTGGTAGACAGCAACCGTCCAGAGAGGTACTACCGTCCTGTCATATGTGAGTAGGTTGGTAGACAGCAACCATCCAGGGAGGTACTACCGTCCTGTCATATATGAGTAGGTTGGTAGACAGCAACCATCCAGAGAGGTACTATCGTCCTGTCATATGTGAGTAAGTTGGTAGACAGCAACCATCCAGGGAGGTAGTACCGTCCTGTTATATGTGAATAAGTTGGTAGACAGCAACCATCCAGAGAGGTACTACCGTCCTGTCATATATGACAAGGTTGGTAGATAGCAACCAGCCAGAGAGGCACTACCGTCCTGTCATATATGACTAGGTTGGTAGATAGCAACCAGCCAGAGAGGTACTACCGTCCTGTCATATATGAGTAGGTTGGTAGACAGCAACCATCCAGAGAGGTTTTACCGTCCTGTGAAATAAGTGTGAAATGGAAGCCTGTTACATATTTTATATTCTGACAGAATTGTTGACCTCTTCTCTGTCTCGACCACGTAAGATGACAGGTATTTCTTACAAATTTCTGTTTACATTCAGTTCTCCGTACCTTTAGGTTAGTATATGCTTCATAATCGTTTTTAATCCTGCAATATTTCCTTTCCAACTTAAGAAGCCTGGTGTGATAGAATCGTTAACAGATAATGAATAAAATAACACAATACCTTGGCTGAAACAAATCACTTAAAATCCGCACTCTGGAGAATGTCCTTATGACGATGTTTCGATCCATCCTGGACCAGTTATGGTTTGACAGTGGTCCAGGATGGACCGAAATGTCGTCATAGGTTTCCTTCCTAAGTGCTGGTTTGTGGTGAATATAAATAAGTTTCGGGAAGAAACAATGTAATTGAAACCTGGGTTACAAACAACGTAGAGTTTTATTAATAATTGTTGTCTGAGAAATATTTAAGGTAAGACAAGATTTTGTTCGGATTTTTAACCCCGGAGGGTTAACCACCCACGATAACCCAAGAAAGTCAGTGCGTGACACGGGTGTGTATGTGATGACACAGGTGTGTCTTGACACGGGTGTGTGTGTGTTATGACACAGGTGTGTCTTGACACGGGTGTGTGTGTGTTATGACACAGGTGTGTCTTGACACGGGTGTAAGTGTTGTGTTAGACACAGGTGTGTGTTGACAGGTGTATCGTGGGAGCTGACACAAGCACTGGAGGCAGCAGTGAGAGGTGAACGAGTGGACCTGGAAGGTACTCTAGCAGCCTGCACTCACCGCTACCCAGAACATACTTCACTTCACGCTAATGCCGACACAAGGTAATCCCAAGCTTGGACCAAGAGCCCTTCACCACCACATATTTTTCACAAACCTTATCAATATATAAACAAATTCTGGCATCTATTAGTTTAATCATTTTAATTCTTGTGAATATATTGATTTCCAACGTTTATCCGAGTAAAAAAAGTTTCTAACATATATTTTAACCATTCAATGGGGTGGTACCACCACGCGGCGCTTCGCAGCCTCTGATTACAAGGCCCGTTGGCACTGGGATTGTTTGGTACATATAGGTGACTTACCTGGAAGTCAGGAAGTCCAAGCAGAGAGTTACTCGTACCACCACCCCCACTGACTGTACCACCACCCCTACTGACTTACCACCACCCCCACTGACTGTACCACCACCCCACTGACTGTACCACCACCCCACTGACTGTACCACCACCCCACTGACTGTACCACCACCCCACTGACTGTACCACCACCCCACTGACTGTACCACCACCCACTGACTGTACCACCACCCCTCTGACTGTACCACCACCCCACTGACTGTACCACCACCCCACTGACTGTACCACCACCCCACTGACTGTACCACCACCCCACTGACTGTACCACCACCCCACTGACTGTACCACCACCCCTCTGACTGTACCACCACCCCACTGACTGTACCACCACCCCACTGACTGTACCACCACCCCACTGACTGTACCACCACCCCACTGACTGTACCACCACCCCACTGACTGTACCACCACCCACTGACTGTACCACCACCCCTCT